GACCCTTATTTAACAGCTAATTCCTTACAGCTTTAGGAAGCACGCTTACGCGTAAGTCCAGCAAAATTTGGCATCTGCCCACAGGTCCACCTTTGTCTCGCCATGCTCCAGTCTCACAAGCTTCCCTAGTGCTCACCTCCGGGCCTTTGCACCTGCCATTCCCTCTACCTAGAATGCTCTTTCCACCATCCTATGCCTGATGACCTCCTACTCACCTTTCAGACCTCAGTTCGAATGTCAATTTCTCAGGGCTCCTGGGTGGCTCAGTTGGTTGAGCATCCAACTCTTGATTTTGGCTCAGGTCATGATCTCATGTGTCCTGGGATCAGGTCCCGAGTCCGGCTCCGTGCTCAGTGGGGAGGCTGCTTGAGGATTTCTCTGCCTCTCTCTCTTTCTCTCTCTCTCAAATAAATGACCTAATGACACAATGACCTAATGTCATTCTTTCAAATATGGGCATACTTCGGAGACGTTGCGAGTTCAGTTCCAGACCACCACAATAAAGCAAATATCACAATAAAGTGAGTCAAATGAATTTATTGGTTTCCCATGCATTGTAAAACATGTTTACACTACGGTCTATTAGGTGTAAAATAAATAGCATTATGTCTAAAAAAATGCACATGCCTTAATTTAAAAAGTAAAAAATAATAAAAAATAGTTGATTGCTAAAATATGCTAACCATCACCTGAGCTTTCAGCAAGTCATCATTTTTTTGCTGGTAGAGGGTCTTGCCTCAAGGTTGATGGCAGCTGACTGATCAGGAGGTGGCTGTGGAAATTTTTCTTTCTTTCTTTCTTTTTTTTTTTAGTGAATGTGTGAGCAGGGGGAGGGGCTGAGGGGGAGAGAGAGAGAGAGACTCTTAAGCAGGCAGCACGAGCCCGATGAGGGGCTGGATCCCATGACCCTGAGACCATGACCTGAGCTGAAATCAAGAGACACATGCTCACCTGACTGAGCCACCCAGGCGTCTGGGAAATTTCTTAATTTAAGGTAACAATGAGTAACAGTGTTATATGGTGGTAGCCACACTTGTGAGCACAGCATAACCTATAAACTGGCCCAGTCCCTGTGCTGTACACCTGAAACTAATGTAACATTGTGTCAACTGTACTCAAATGTTAAAAATTTAAAAAAGGCGCCTAGGTGGCTCAGTCGTTAAGCGTCTGCCTTCGGCTCAGGTCATGATCCCAGGGTCCTGGGATCGAGTCCCACATCAGGCTCCCTGCTCTGCGGGAAGCCTGCTTCTCCCTCTCCCACTCCCCCTGCTTGTGTTCCCTCTCTCACTATGTATCCCTCTGTCTAATAAATAAATAAAATCTTTAAAAAAATTAAATTAAAATTTAAAAAAAAGAAAAGAAAGAAGGGTGATTACCAGGGGATGGAGGGTGGGGAGGGGGAGTGGGAGAAATGGGGGGATGTTTGGCAAAGGCTACAAACTTTCAGTTATAAGCTAAATAGGTTCTAGAGACCTAATATACAGCATGGTGACTACAGTTAATAGTAATGTATTGTAGGGGCACCTGGGTGGCTCAGTTGGTTAAGCGTCTGCCTTCGGCTCAGGTCATGATCCCAGGGTCCTGGGATCGAGACCCACATCGGGCTCCCTGCTCAGCAGGATGCCTACTTCTCCCTCTGCCTCTGCTACTCCGCCCTGCTTGTGCTCTCTCGCTCTGTCAACAAATAAATAAAATCTTTTAAAAAAATTAATAATAATGACATTTTCTAAGAGAGCAGATCTTAAGTATTCTCACGCACAGGAAAAATGGTAACTATTGAGATTACAAATGTGTGAAATAGCTTGATTGTGATAATCATTTCACAATGTATATTATATCAAAACATTGTTATACACTATATATGTGTATATATATGTACATAGATGTATATAAAGTTTTGTTAATTATACCTCAATAAAGTTGGGGGTAAAAAATTAAAAAAATATATAAGGTAACAATAAAGTTTGCCACATCAACTGACTCTTCCTTTCATGAACAATATCTCTGTAGTAAGCAAGACTACCCATGATAGAACTTTTTTCAAAATTAAAGTCAATCCTCTCAAACCCTGCCATTGCTTTATCAACTACGTTTATGTAATATTCTAAATCCTTTATTGTCAGGTCAACAATTTTCACAGCATCTTTACCAGGAGTAGATTCTATCTCAAACAACCACTTTCAGGGCACCTGCATGGCTCAGTCGGTTAAGTGTCTGCCTTCGACTCAGGTCATGATCCTGGAGTCCTGGGATCAAGCCCCACATTGGGCTCCCTGCTCAGCGGGGGGCCTGCTTCTCCCTCTGCCCGCCACTACCCCTGTTTGTGCTTTCTCTTTCCCCCCACCCTATGTCAAAGAAATAAATAAAATCTTTTTTTAAAAAAAGAAATTGTAAACAAAAAAGAAAAAAATTTAAAAAAAAAAAAAAAGAGACCACTTTCTTCGCTCATCCATAGGAAGCAACTCCTCATCCATTAAAGTCTTATCATGAGATTGTGGCAATTCAGTCACATCTTCAGGCTCTGCCTCTAAGTCTGGTTTTCTTGCTATTTCCACAAAGCTTCAATTTGTAAAGCACACAGTATCTGAAGTGCAATAAAACAAAGCATAATAAAACAAAGTATGCCTGTAATTTTCATAACTCTAGGAAGTGGGGATGCAAAGATGTATTAAACTCATTTTATAGATGAGAGTTTTTAGGACCAGAGAAGTTCAGGGTGATTTCCATAATCACCCAATGCTGCCTTCTATCCGCTCCATGAGAAGAGTTAATAATGAAGCTGTCCTTTATTTTCAACAGCAAATAAGCTGTGTGCTCACAGGGTCAGACAAGGATGCTCTGTGCCCGTTCGCCTTTCTCATTTCCCCAACATTAGAAAAACATGCTGTTGCTGTTTTAAGAGCCATTGAAAGTCCACAGTGTTCTAGCACTGTACAGAGCAAACCCTTGGTTCCAAACATGACCTGACAACACAAAAAGTCAAAACCAAGCAATTTTGAGTTGTCCTTAGAGTTTAGCCCAAAAGCCTGGAAGAGACTAATATAGCATTTGCTGGAGTCAACAGAAACAGTAACCAAATGCATAGAAAGGGTTGTCCATGTGACCTTCATCCAGGTCACCATCCTCCTGGGCCATTGGATTCGTCCTATAAAAAATGAGAACCCTGGACCCGGTGATCTCTAAGGTCTCTTCTTCTCTGAATGCATACAGCTCCCAAACACACTTGTAGATTTGACTGCTCACAATTTGGCAGAATAATGTCTTGACGTACTAATTATGATTTTCTAATATTTTCCTCTTTCTCATTGAAGAAGGTAGAAGTCAATGCATCCACTTTTTAGAGGAAGCCTGAGGCAGGCTAGAAATCAAAAGTCGCCTACGTGCAATTTCTCCCTTAGCTTTTATTTCCAGAAGAACCAAGACCATGTAAGAGAAAAGAATTTGAAAGATGAAAGTTGAGGAGAAAGAGGTCTACAAATACAGACTTGTAGATTGCTCCCTGGAAATGGCCAGAAGGGGATGAATGCCAAGAAAGAACCTCACGGGACATGATAAAGGCTAATCTCCTAGGCTGGCGGTTCCCAGATTCGACAAAGCTCACCAGGAACCAAACTCAACCTGAAAGCACCAGGGCAGCTGCATCTGGAGAGACCATGTGGTCTGGGACAATGGCGTCTCACAGGTAACCACCATGTACGGAAGACAGGTGACCAAACAAGGCTTGCCAGAATGTTGGCCCTTGCCTAAGATTACAGAAATGGGGTGGGGGTTATATTTTGTTAATTTTTTTTTATTATTATTCTTTTAAAAAGAGAGTCATCTTTTAGGGAACTTCTGAACATTTTGGAAGACTTTTGAAGTTATCCTATGTTTGGAAGACCTACTGGAATGTATCCTTTGTTTACATCAATGTAAGGTAATTATCCAGTCATTGCTTTTAGAGAAAAATGGGAGGCCACACTACATCTGAATGCAAAAATGTACTGAATGAGATGTCAACTGTTGAGTTTAATCATGTAAACTAAGGGTTGGTTTAACTGGACTATGCCCTCAAGAGAGATGATGATTATTATATACAAGGTTCTCCATGTTCCTCCCCTCCCCTGTAGGAGACATACCTACAATCATACTGGGTGATTTAAGGCAGGATGACCCACACTTTGAAAACTGTGCTGTGGACTATTGTGATGCCCACGCTCGACCAGAAAATCTACACTGGACCATGATTTGAAGCAGTTAAGAAAGATGGCTGTGTTTGCATTTGGAGAAAATTGGAAGAAAAAGGATAATTCTGGACATAAAAAGCAGATGCTAGAATGGTTTTTGATCTAGCATCCTGAAGAATGACTGCATGACCAGAGTTAGGGTAGATAGGTCCTCAACCACCATGATGATTTCTGCCAAGGACAGAATCTTGTTCATACCCTGGATTATCTGATCTTGGAGGTAACACTACTTCCCAGAAGAAGCAAAACTAGCAGCTAAAACACTGGACTCTTCAGCAGCCTGAACTTTTACTGATGGTGTCCATTCCTGACCCCTTTTGGACTTAATACATAAACCAAGGGGTCCCAGGAAATCTAAGAGAAGAGAACCTCTGAATAAAAATGAACTTTGCTGAGGCACCTGGGAAAATCTGACTCTTGATTTTGGCTCAGGTCATGATCTCAGGGTCATGAGATGGAGCCCCACGTCGGGCTCTGAGCTCAGAGTGGAGTCTACTGGAGATTCTCTCTCTCCCTCTGCCCCTCCCTGATCTCTCTCTCTCTCCCTCCCTCTCTCTCTCAAAAATAAATAAATAAATCTTCTTTTTTTTTTTAAACATTAAGCCTCTGTCAAAAATGTATTTCTTATTTTAGGGTACAGGATTAAAGGACAAAATGATACAAGTAAAGAAAAAATTACAAGAAAAAACTTGACAAAAGCTTTTCAATTGAAGTACTGTAACATTTAAACTTGACTTAAAACATAACAAAAGAAACAAAAATTGCAAACGAAAACTCTTTATGGATTTTCCAAACATAAATAAATGAGATAGTGTTTAGGCAGTAGGGCTCATGCTGATGGCTAGCAGGAAGTAACAGAGTATAATCTACTTGGAAATATTGTTACTGTACAAACAAGCCCCAATTAAGGACTACAGCAGTTTCATCATCACTGCCATTGTTCTTACTTCCAAAATCAAGCCTTGATTCAACCATTCATACCCTAGATTACTCATACCTTTACTTCAGAGATTGAGGAACTATATACAACAAATGAATTTATTTTCACCATAGGGATAACAATATTGTACCTCTCTGCCAATGTTACTTGAAAACCTTCCATGTCAAAACAATTTGACAGCAGATATAAACAATTCAATAAATACGCAATGATCTTTCATTAAAGTTCTTTAAAGACGCATGTTAATTCACGCTGTTAACCTTAGGATCACAGTGCATAGAATCCAAATATAAACAGTTGGGGTGACTTTCAAAGTAACGTTGGATCCCTCACTTTATTTATAATCCCACCAAAACCAATAAGTTCATTTCATAGGCCCTATCATGCATTAATTATTGGGTGGCAGGAGTTAATGAAAATTTTTCCTGTTAAACGTCCATTGCCGGCAATGAACGTCCCAAAACCGCCAAGGAAGTCATTGTTACTGCACAATACGTGAGGACCTGGAACTTTTCCAAAAGCTTAAAAAAATAAAAATAAAAAATGGAATTATATTGACATTTCCTGACACCTGCATTAATACTGTATGACTAATAAAAGCATGTCAGTTGCCTGGACTGAACCAGCGATCAACATGCGCCCAGAATGCACACAAGTAAAAATGCAGTAAAAGGAAGTAGTCTTCATTGCCTATAGGTCACTTCCAGTCAAAGGTTAAAGTTCAAAGACTGAATGATCAAAGTGCTCATTTTCTCAGTAGGACTATCTTCTGCTAGGAGGATGATAACAGTGACATCAGCAAGTATCATCATGATACCACCATTTTGTTTTCTTTGGATTCTTGTTACATGTTCGAACATAAAAAGAATTACCTGGTGGTCGTCTCTTTTCTTTGCAGCTGGAAAGCATGCTAATAATGCTAAGACAAACTGACTGGACTGAGAGCGCTGGGGACCAGTCTTCTGTTAGAATGGATAAACAGATACGACCATTGCTATAAACATGAGGATGAACGGGAATATTTTCACCAGTAAACATGACCTGAGGAGAGTCAAAAGGATATCGACTACGAAACTTAAATAGAAGCTGAAATTTTTCCCCTTCATATAAGGTACCTGGTGCACCTTCCATGTCTACAATCCACTGTGTAATTGAATTCTGAACACTCTTTTCATTTAATGTCATTCCGGGAGGTGGGTCATTTTGCAAAGCCAACAGTTCTTTCTGCAGTCGTTTCTGCATTGACGCTATGATGGAACCATCCCCCCAAAGCCGGCGAGGCCAGAGACCATAAATCTTCTTTAAAAATGAATTTTTCTATGTTAGGATGGGACACAAAGTCATATTCATTTGGATGTTAAATATGTTATGATCTTATTATATCCTGAGCTGATGAGATGGATGTATATAGCAATATGTTTTGTATTGTTGTTGTTATAGGTTGGGGAGAGGGGGGTCTTTTTTAAAGAACACCTTTAATCCAACCACTCAGAATCAAACACTGTTAGTATTGGGGGACATATACTTTCAGAAATATTTCCCGAGTAAATGTATAAATGCAGATATGAGACAGTCCCCCCAAAATTAGATAATATTTTACAAACTGTTTTATAGTCTGTTTCCTCATTGTAAAAAATGTGAATAACTGAGGCACCTGGGTGGCTCAGTCAGTTGGGCATCCGAATCTTGATTTGGGCACTCAGTCGTGGTCTTGGGGTTGTGGGGCCAAACCCCATGTTGGGCTCTGCACTCAGCATAGAGTCTCCCTCTCCTCTTCCCCCCACTCATGCTCGCTCTCTCTCTCAAATAAATAAATAAATAAATAATCTTTTTAAAAATGTGGATAATTTCCCATCTCAAATATAGATCTGCATCACTTATAATAATTCAATTATTTTCCATTGAATGACTGTATCATAGCTTCTGAATCAGTTCCATGTTAATGAATAATTTGAGCATCAATTTTAATATATAATAAGTAGCATTGTAGGGAAAATCCATTATGTCCATTCCTTTGACAACGACTCTCATTACCTCTTCCAGAACTGTTGCAATGGTTTCATACATAGTATCATTTTGTCTGGTCTTGGCTCTTTCAAACTGATTCTCTACTAACTAACAGTCTCTCTACACCAGTTTTCTGAATTCTGAAAGAATACAGAATTCTTCATGAGCTAGATTCTGCTGACATTACTTATAATTTGATTTGGAGGGCAGTATTCTTTTTACAACCTGATATGAAGAGCAATCTCTGTTTGAAAAGCACTACCCTCTCCATCATTAAAGAAACTGTAGTCTTGAATTATAGAAAGCATCCTTTAGTTATACAAGCCCACAGTACTGTTCACTAGGGCCACCCCCAGGGTGCGCGGGGCCCTAGGGGTGATTTTAAAATGTATTGCAAAACTCATGGGTCCGTATGAAGCATAGTGATTATTAATCACAAATAATGGATAGAGAAAGATACTTAAAATTAAATTATTGTTCTGTCAGTGAAGATTCTTCAGAGGGTCTGCGCACCATTTTTTCCTGTTCGGGTCTATCATTTCTTCTTTTTTTAACTGTCAAATGTGTCATGAGTATAAAATACTCCTGTTTTATATGTCCTATGTCCTATGAGAAAATGTCCTATGAGAAAAAAGTAGCCACAATACTTGTTCACAATACTCTAGACCTTCAGAAGCTTTTTGTATTGAAACAACATAGATCTTCTTGCCTTTGCACTTCCCAAATACCATTTATTTTGTGCTGGTTATTTCGTTACTCACAATGCTGCACCATCCATTGTACTGCCTGTGAAGCTGGTTTCTAACGATTCTCTCAAAGGTTGTTACTGTGCTTCATTGGTGAAGACCATAAACACAAGACTTACCCAGAGTAATAAGGGAAAATGTGGATAGTAATTTGTTTTCTGGCTGTGTTAAATTTATTATCCAAAATTTGATAGCATAAATAAAACAATATATCTTCCAGCCATGTCTTCCCTGTAATTAGCGCATTCTTAAAATGTGAATTCTTTCCATGTTAACCGTACACCTGCCTTCCACATCCTGCCACATTTAAGGAGGAAAGGCAGGGCCCTGTGGTTGCTATAAGAGAAGTAGACCCATTCACTGAAGGACTCTTCATCCCTTATAAACAACCTGAGAGAGCACAGTATCCCCATATTGATTAGAGACAAGTGAGGACATGGATTAGAAGGGTCCACCAGTGTCACTGAACAAAAGTCTTGAAAGTTCACGGAGGACATCAGTACATCATGCCTGGAAGACTGTCTGACCAGCTGTGTGGAGCCTGCAGAAAGGGGGAGTGACCACCATGGGTGCTAATGGAAGGGGACACCCCGGGTAAAGGACACGTGGCCTCACCCCTGCCATGATCATGTGCTGATGAGATGAGAGATGAGAGGTGGCATTGAAGTCAAGTCATGTAGGTGGGAAGAGAAGACACACAAGCCCACACACATGGCTCAAGCCCAAGATGGACTATCAGAAGCCCAGACTCATCCTGAGTCTGATATGATGAGAATCACCCAAAGTCAGCCAGCCTCGGCATTATTCTGGTGGCCCAATCTCACATGATCTGCAGTGGGAGCAATCGGCTGCCCTCCTGGAACCAGGCCCCAGGACAACCCCACAGGTATGAGTTCACTGGCGTCTCTGGTCAATCTCATGTGTACTGCAACCCTGGCCAAACCCAGGCCCAAGAGAGTCTTATAAATTTTCGATGAAGGCACACCAAAGCATGGGACCCTCTGAGGCCTAGGACCCAGGCAGGTGCCCTAAGGTGAATACTGTTGTTCACATTCTGTTACATATTCTCATTCATTTCACAGACTTTAGTTGAGCACCTTTTTCTTTAAGTTTGCCTAGGGAGTCATCAGATGAATCAAGCACAGCTAGTGATCTAACTAGCATTACTGATATAAATATTTGCCCAAAATTTGAAGTAAAAAATTCCGTTCCTCAAAAATTAAACATAGAATTACCATATAACCCAGCAATTCCAAGATATACACCTGAAAGAATCAAAGAGAAGGGACACCTGGGTGGCTCAGTTGGTTAAGTGTCTGCCTTTGGCTCTGGTCGTGATCTCAGGGTCCTGGGGTCGAGTCCCACATCGGTCTCCTTGCCTGGGGAGCAAGCCTACTTCTCCCTCTCCCTCTGCTGCTCCCCCTGCTTATGAGCTCTCTCTCTCACTCTGACAAATAAATAAAATCTTAAAAAAAAAAAAAAAGAATCAAAGAAACCTACTCAAAGAAGTACACACACATGCATGTTCATAACAGCATTATTCATATTCACAGTATGGTGGAAACAACCCAAGAATGCATCTAGGGATAGATGGATAAACAAATTGTGGTAAATCCATACAATGGAATATTATTCAGCCATAAAAAGGAATGAATTACTGATCATGCTGCAGTGCAAATAAATCTCAAAAATATCATGTTCAATGAATGAAGAAAGATACAAAAGGATGAATATTATGATTCCATTTACATAAAGTACCCAGAATAGGTAAATCCACAGAGACAGAAGGCAGATTGGTCAGTGCCAGGGGCAGAGAGGAGAAGGACGTGGAATGTAACTGCTTAACAGACAGAGGTTTCCTTTTGAGGTGATTAAAATGTTCTGAAAGTAGAGAGAGGTGGTGGTTGGACAACAGGGTCAATGTACTAAATGCCACACAATTGTTCACTTTAAAATGACTAATTGCATGTTATGTAAATTTCACCTCAATTTTCTTTTTAATCTCAGCTTCAAAGAGATTTATTCATAACATAGCTGACTGTAAGTAGTTATACTCAAAGATAAAATCAAGTCAACTGTGATAATTTGGGGTCATGTTTATGATTATTATTTCTCATTGAACAAAATATCAGTGAGAATATACCCCAAAGTACATCCAACTGGGCTAGTTTTCAGAGAAAAGAAATAATGTTGAGGGGGAAAAGATGCTGAAAGGAAAAAGAAGATCTATAGGAACAAAAGACCTGGAAAGAAAGACATTATATTTGTTTTTTACTTAAGAAAGGGACCTTTTAATCAAGAATTTTTATAGACCGAGGAAAAGAAACATGCTCCAGCATTTGGCCTTGCAAACTATAATCAGAAATCCATTTTATAACAAGAACCCTAAAAATAGTACCTTACATGGTGGTCCTCAATAAAGATAATTGCTATCTGTTCAACCAACAAATATATTACAAGCAAAGATATAAAAATGAGCAACAAATATATTACAAGCGAAGATATAAAAGCAAGCACAACCTACAAATGTGCTTTGTTGTTTTGTATGTTGTTCAAGAGAATTTTGCTGGAAAGACAAAGCGGCAGTATGATTAATTCACATAGGAGTTTAATCTCATTACAACCATTACCTTCTAAGTGGAGATATAATGCAAACAATGCTGTATTTCTTTTTAGACTGCTCTTATCAATTCCAGATATTAAAATAATTATTTTAAGCTGTTATAGCCCACAGGCAGAACAAAATAGCATAGAAACTATAAAGCTTTGCAAAACAGAACCTATAAGTCGTCAAACCGGGTTTATCACACCCCTGCCAGATAAAGAGGCTGATCATCAGTCAAGAAAGAAGCACATTAATCCTGAAGGAAGGAACATTTGCATTTCTATAATGCGAAATTACTCCTACACTAAAAGATTCGTGCTGTTGAAGGAACTTAATGTATTTCTCCCCAAAACAATTTTTTAAAGTACTTCAATCCTGGGATTTCTTTTGCAGAAAAATGAAACAAAAATCATCTACTTTCACAGTATAATAAATTTTTAGGAGTAATTGTTCTTCCACAGAGACAAAAAAGCTCCACTATTAACATGCCTGATTTTTCTAGATAATATTAAAAGCAATGCAATTACAGTTATGGTAATTGATATGGTTCTTACCTGATAATGATCAGGGGTCAAGAGTTTAAAACATAAAGCAGAACACGCTTTGCACTTTGTAAAGTCAAGTAAGCGATTTGAAGTTTGGCTTTGCTACTGCAGACCCTGGACTCTCAGCCCTAACGGAGGTAGGAATGAGAGTATTCCTATGAAAGTCCTTGTCCCTTCTTCTTTCATTACGGCTGTAATCTCCCCCACACCAGAACTGCTCTTTCCTTAGGAAGAGAGTGTAATTCTCAGTTATCTGGCCAAATGAGAGTCATGCGTAACAAGGCTAAATTAATTTCACGGTTAATCTCAAACCCCAGTTTCAGCCCCCTTTTATTAGTGTCCTAAGCTTCCTTATTAGATGAAACAGAAGCCAAATAAACAAATAATCTTCTAATTCATTCAGATTGATGACACCTTATAAAACTGGGGAGCCCTCTCAAGGTCTCATGGTGCAGTTTTGAGCCCGCCATTCTGTCCCTGCTGCTAATGGACACCCTGCCTTGGAGCTCGATGCTGTGCTTTCTGACAGGAGAAGCTGAACGCATCACAATTTAATTAGGCCCTTTGGATTTTCGTTTACTTGGGTATTTATGAACCAAATTCAATGGAACCAGAGAATTTACCCAGGTGTAAGAAACGAGTAGAAAGATTATCACCTTTGATGTGACAGATAACAGGAAACTTAAGAAAGAAAGAAAAAACTCAAAGAAAAGTCAATTTTTCCAAAACCCAGAGATCACAGTTTAATGTACTTATGACTATACATCAGATCGCCTTTGAGCCTTTAATGATGCGATGTGATTCCTTCTATGAATCAGAAACAAAAATCTATGGCATTATTGCCTTAAAACACTGGCATATTTAGGGCGCCTGGGTGGCTCAGTCATTAAGCGTCTGCCTTCGGCTCAGGTCATGATCCCAGGGTCCTGGGATCGAGCCCCGCATCGGGCTCCCTGCACCACAGGAAGCCTGCTTCTCCCTCCCCCACTCCCCCTGCTTGTGTTCCTTCTCTCGCTGTGTCTCTCTCTATCAAATAAATAAATAAAATCTTTAAAAAAAAAAAAAACACTGGCATATTTAAAAATCAGTGAGTATACAGGAAAATGTTAACAGTATTGTTAATCAAGGTTATATTAGGGTGCTGAGATTATGGTATTTTCTATA